AATACAACAATAATATTGAGAAATATGATGTTTGTAAGCGTGTAGATATAGGCAAAATCTGCTGGTATATTCATGTATCCTGCCATGGGATGTAAGTATTTTCAGTTCGCACCCCTATTTGCTGAAAGTGGGAAATACTGCATTTGTCAACTTGAGCTGAGCAGAGCTAAGCTGAGCTGTATGATTTGTCTAAAATGATTGCTTTTCGATTACGATCCCAACCCATTGCATCCTTTCTGTTTTTTTTGTTTTTTTCGTTTCTGTTCAACTTTTGTCCATTTATGATTTTATTTCAGACTTTTTAATATTACATGTCATTCCACACACACACACACACACACACACACACACACACACATACACACTCACACACACATATACATTTAGGCAGCATATCTTCATTCAAACATGTTTCATTAAATAATATAGACATGTCTATTCATTTTTATAATAATCCAGCCTACTTCTTTAATTATCTTTTTGATGATAAATTGAAATTCATCAAAGAAGGCGCTGTATTTTATGTTAACGTCGATTCTTTCGATTTACTGTAATTCTTGTGATAGCCATTTTGCAAAAACGCGTGAACGCGCTCTGTTATAATTATTTTAAAATTAACCGTTGTGTTCCCAGTCCAAGGACGATAACCAGAGATGGTAAATTATAAAATGCGGTTAAATGTTAGTATACACAAATGCCTTTTAAATTTTGTTAGTGTTGTTTGGTTGTTTTGATGTGATTATTTTCATGTAGTTGGTGTCAGTAAGTATTTTCCTGTAGTTTGAAGGTGGAGAGGAATGTGTCTTTAAATGATGTGCGATAGAACGTGTATCCACTAAATGAAGTGTAAGACGTCTTGATAATGTTGTTGAACATCATAGCAGATCACTTTCGTGCGTGTTTGCAAGATGACTATCACAATGATTACAATTAAATTAAGTTTTTCTTCATAATTCATCCGTGAGGATGATCTTGGAGGAGGTCGAAAGTAATTCGGTTAACAAAAACTGTCTACCTTTCTTGATGAATTTCAACTTAATATTAATAAGCTAATGAGAGCAGTAGAAAGGGTTATTATAAATAAATATAATATGATTATATTATTTAATGAATTATGTATATATATATATATATATATATATATATATATATATATATATATATATATATATGAAGGAACTCTTCATTGCCAATCCAAGAAGGAAATTCGGATTACCAACACACAAACAGAAAATGTCTCATATCGAGAATATTTAACATTGAACATGAGGAAAAATTAATTATTTTAATAATATGTGGAAATTTCCACTTTTACCTGAAGACGGTCGCGAGACCAGAAACACGTGTCGTAAAATTATGTAAACAAAAGCATAACATTTTTTTTAAATAAATCCACATTACAACAAAAACGTTTGCGGCACCTCTCTTCTCTTCTTTTTAATATATATATATATATATATATATATATATATATATATATATATATATATATATATATATATTAATAATAATCCGTCGGTATATAATTCAAGTGAATCCTAATAATATAAAATATTAAAATAGATCCACAAAGAGAGCTCAATGGATTTATTCAACAGAGCATATAAATTAAATTCAATAGGAATTAAAATTGCCTCATGTTGTTATGATAATTTCACCTTACAAATTGAGATAAGCTGTAAGGCATTTCAAACCGATCAATATAAGGTAAAACTAAATTAAGTAAAACCAGGCCTAGAGCAAATTTTAAAACAAGACAGAGGAAAAGAAAGGAAGAAAAACGGATAAAAGGAAAGAGTAAAAGAAATAGTGAAAAGACAAAAAAGGAAAAGCAAGAAAGGGAGAAAAAATGGAGGTAAAGAAACAGAATTAACTTATTAGTTAATATATTAATTTTATTTAATATCATAATATTATTTAATAATATATTGATATACTTAATAATGTAATAATATTATTTAATATAATGATATTTGGTGTATTGATATATATATATATATATATATATATATATATATATATATATATATATATATATAATATTGATTTGTAACGTATAGTTTAATATAATCATATAACAATTTATAACAATTTTATTTGATGAGTTATTTATATATTATATAGTACTATTTACTATAATAATATTTAATAATAATGATATTGATTAATATAATATATTACGAATGTTATTTCATGATGATATAATAATTCATATAATATAATAATTATATATATTTATAATTATACATACACACACACATATATATATATATATATATATATATATATATATATATATATATATATATATCAACGTATAAGTTCTGTGATATTTTCTTTCCCTATTAAAAATATATTTTTGGTTATCAGGTATCCTTCCTTTGAATTTGTTCTACCTGTTGATGAACATTTATTTTGTCCAGGTAATTACTTCTTGTTTATGGAACTCTCTTCCAAACTTCTTGCTTTCCAGTCTTCTTTAATCATCAAAAATTTAAATGCAATATCAATCGTTATCTTCTGTCTTTTCAGTTCCTGTTCTTTTGTAGTTGTCTCTCTCTCTCTCTCTCTCTCTCTCTCTCTCTCTCTCTCTCATAATGCTTTTAATTTTTCTCATATTCTTTCACACGCTTTATTGCCTTTTGATTTGATTGAAATGATTAAAAAAATATTTGATTCTGTTGCTCACACTCACTTTTAGTCTCTTGCTGATCCTTTCTATTTCCGTACACTTGCCATTGAGCCATTCCACTCAAGCCTGCCTGAGTTTGTTTCGAATTTCTGTCTTTAGCATACTCTATTCTTTTCCAATCCTTGATATTCTTTGGTGTCGCTTTATCATCAACTATATATAAACGTGTAGATAGATACAAAAGCTGTTGGCTTATTCATCCAGGGCTACATGTAAATTACAATGCCTTACAGTCCCCGCCATTATTTACTGCAACTGAGACACATATCAAAGACTAAATTTATCGTCTTAGCCTCAGAAATAAACTAAAAATTAAATTAGTTCATTTGGTCTCAATCCACGGACGGTGCAAGGGTCTAGTTGGCCCCCATCGGCACTATAATACTGACCCCCCCCACTGTACTACATCTCAATTGTCGAAAGGTAGTATTCATACAAAATACAAATTTTATTGTAACCTAATTATGTACAATAATGGATAATATGCAATATAGGTGAACAATTCAACAAGAAAAATTCGAAATAAATACAATGTCTGTAAATACAAATTAAAGACATGCTATAATAGAATATTCTATCTTAAATAAATCAACAATGTTTCCAGGCAATTTTTAAAACCAACTTGAGATTTTTCTTGTTAAAATTTAACAGGTTCAACATTAAGGATATAAAATTGTCAATTTTATATAGTGTTTTTATTGAGCCTAAGCATGAGAAAAAGAAATCCACGGATTTGGATGGAAAAAAGACCTCAGAATAACGTCAAAAATCTGGTAAACTTTTTCCTCTTCAGATGTACTTAGTTTAAATTTTAACGTATATAAAATTTTGGTAGAAAAAAGCAAATCTTAAGAGAGAGAGAATCACAAAACATTGTCCAGTGACACCATCACTTACCCCTGATCAGGGGGTTTCGGAGGGTACTATGCACCGGGTTTATCTCGGTCTATTTCAATGCTACTGACCTGAACACTATAATTTGCTTAAAAGTACTACAGCCATTATTTTTCAAAATAAAAATTAAATTACTTTTCCTTTTTTTCTTTCCCCAAAGATTAAATTCTGAAGATTTTAATTAATTCTTATATGGAGATATTATATATACGTCCCGTTCCAGAATATATGTTAAAAACGTGTATTTAAAATCAAAACTAAAATAAATAGGTCTAAAATTTAAAAAAAAATTACTTTAAATGACGATCGACTATATACACTCTTAAATTAATATCTGATTTTGCTCTCAAATTTTAAGATATCTGATATTCTGCTTACATATTCTTCCTCCATAAACAATTTAGCTCGGTTTCTTAAAAGAATAGGTTTATCAAATGATTATAGTCAAGTGTCCGTGTCTGTAAAAGCAAAGTCGGCTTTAAAATTACCACGCCCGACCACGTCGTAGAATTATACAGATATAATCTACGTTGGTTGACCAAATATTCGTATGGATATACATGGCCAAATAAACAGGCACATATATATGCATCTACTGGAATTGGAATGGAACATTCTTTCCTTCTTTGTATTACACACACACACACACACACATATATATATATATATATATCAGTGTGTGTGTGTCCGTGCATGTGGACTGTGCCTCGGTGCGGGCGTATGTCTGTGTGCGTGTGTGTCTTGGCATATGGGTCGGTATTCGAATGTATGACTTTTGCATGAGGCCTGTTTATTCTATAACAGAATATTTGGTTAACACCCTGCAGTGTGATCGACCCCTCACCCAGAATATCCACCCCACACAATCCATCCTTGTCTTTTCCTGACGACTTTTGCACACGTTTTAACAAAGGCTTCTACATGCTTTTCCCACTTTTTGTTTTTCTAATTCACTCTTTCAGCATGACTGTTGGTATATATATATATATATATATATATATATATATATATATATATATATATATATATATATATATATATATATATAGCTAGCATAGGCATAGGTGAATGGGAGGCAGGCAAAATAACATTCACACGATGTACGTGCACGCACACACACATACAAACACACACATATATATATAGAGAGAGAGATAGATAGATAGATAGATAGATAGATAGATAGATAGATAGATAGATAGATGTGGAATTGTGGGAATGTATAGTTGTACATGCTTCTACATAATATGGACGTATCCTGATTCTCAGTTAGTGTGTGTGCGCAGATCATTATCCAAAATTTCATACATGAGTACATTTATTTTTGGAAGCATGATATTGTGCTGATCGTTTAGTAGTGAGAATTACACGATCAGATTAAGATACATAGAGAGATTAATAAACCGAACAGACTTTAAAAATATAGATAGATAGATAGATAGATAGATAGATAGATAGATAGATATGAAAAAACTTGAACGGAGAGATAGATTAGTAGATAGAGATGAATAGACTTAGATAGACATGAACATAGATAGATAGATAGATAGATAGATAGATAGATAAATAGATAGATATCATATTTTTTGTTTACATTCTCATGTTACTTTATTTGAAATACAGTTTAGGGTTCAAGACTCTCCCTAATAATATCAAAATTATCCTATCCAGTTGCATCTCTCTGCCTTCCTCTTTACCTATCAATTCATCATGAGCTAATCACTCGTCGTTGAATAAGAAATGGGAAAATTTCATTGGACCAATTTTTTAGCGTTTTGCTTCTTTCCGGGGGATTCATGAAAAAGCGTTCTTACGTTCATAGAGAACATATTCAAATAAATATTCCTTTCTGTCAATGTACTTAAACTACTGCTTTTGAAGAAGGAAGCCATTATCCTACACAAACCTGATTTTTCGAGATTTCAAATTTTTGGATTTGTATTGAGACGAAAATATATTTATGGCGTGGAAATTCCCAGCCTCATTCCTGTTTTCGAAAATTAGAGACTGAATACATATGTTTTTTTTTCTTTTTACAATAATAAACACGAGAATGCTAAACACACACACACACATCCATACACAAGAAAGCAAAATATTAGTAAAACTTGCGACTGAGACTTTACCAACTGTCAAATGATTAGATTTGAAGTGACAACAAGAAGTAAAAGGAAAAACAGAAAACCGTTAAATAAAGAAACCAAAAGAAAAACTAACAAAAATCAAAGAAAACTTTAGCAGAAAAGCAAAAGAGACTCAATTTAATAATCCAAAGTGCTCAATCTCTAAATCTAAAGATAGAACAGTAATCATAACCATGGAGACAGCACAAAAAGACTTAATTCAAATCAGATGTTCTTGTAAACACGACCAGTGGATCAAGTATATATATATATATATATATATATATATATATATATATATATATATATATATATGTACTTAAATCCAACTTAATTTTAATAATTATTTGGATATTTCGTCTCTCGTTTTTGAAACATGAGAACTCTTATATAGCAAAGGAATCATATTTTTAAACAAAAAAATATATATATATATATATATATATATATATATATATATATATATATATATATATATATATCCCAGTATAGCATTGGTGTAGACGGAATAAAATTCCAAAACCAAAAACGCTATTCTTAAAAGAGTACACAGTACAGAGTAGAGCAAATATTATTTATTCAAAAATTATAACATAAACTTTATAACATCACTAAAAATATTCAACACTATCACTTGAGAAGGCGCCAGAAGTGTTGAAACAAAATGGCTATTTTTGTAGTAGAGTTATAATTGCCTGACGATATAAAAAAAAAAATTCTGATACAGTGTATGTGTAAAACGACAATATAAATTCTTCTTTTGTCTTTATATATATATATATATATATATATATATATATATATATATATATATATATATATATATATATATATATATAGGTAGATATATAACGATATATATTTTTATATCTCAAGAATAATATTGGAGACAATATTGTATTACAAAGTGGAAAATATTTACGTGTGATGCGTTTCGTCCTTTAGAACTGACTTCATTGACTAAATCTGTTATGTTGGACGACACATGCGCACGAAGGACGGGTGTTGAGGATTTTAGAATTATAAAACATTTCGTTTTTAGAATTTAAAAAATTACTGTAGATGACCTTGCGATCAAGGCTCTGTCTAGACATTTACGTCGTAGTGAATTGTTTTATCCTTTGATCAGAGTAGCATTTCTTATGTCAAAATTGTGGTCAGTCTCCTTACGGTGTGAAACTAATACATTTGACGTATTGTTATGTAAAATATTCCTTTTGCGTTCATGTAGGATTTTATTTAGATGCCTTCAGTTTCCTCCTATGTATTTTTGTATCAAATATTACAGGCGATTGAGTAAACTCCTCCTTCTGGTTTTAGCTTATTGCTTTGTTTAATATTGACTAATCTTTTATTGTTTTGTCTGTTGTGGGAACAAATTTTATGTGGAGTTTATATTCTTTTCGATTGTAGATGTGATAGAATTAAGTTGGTAGAATAACATTTTTTCTATTCATTGGGTTTTTCAGATGGGGCCATTTTTGTTTTGAAATATTTTACGTGCCTTTCGTTTCACATTAAATATAGAATAATTAGAGTACTGAAGAAGCTCGGAATTGTTTTCAGTGTATTTCTCATCTTCGTGTAAATAATCTGCATATTCTCAGAATCCGATGATTATGTCGGATATCATTTTGTTGTTATGATATGAATAGGAATTTATTAGGTCATTTTTCTTGGTTGGTTTCCGGCGGAAAGAGATCTTCAAACTGCTGTTAACCTGGTGAATTTGATTTCTAGGAAAGGTCAGCCTGTACTTAATTTTGCAATCATTCTGTAAGCATTAATTTAATTTTGTTTTAATTTTAACAGTTTCTTTACGTTTGATACCGTTTGTATCATCTCTCTACACGTTGTTTTGTTTCTTTTTTGATGTTCCTCCTTTTTAAGTCAGACACTGCATACTAAAATACAGCTGGTTTAATATTTGCTAAAAAAACGAAAACAAAATACAGGTTGAAAAAAAAAAACAGAAAATCTTTTAGTTGCAAAATATACCAAAATACATCAAATACAAAACATCTTATTAGCGGTGTTAGACACCTTGGGTATTTTTTTCAAAAAAATAAATAAAAAATAACCGGCGTCAGGTGAAATTGAATATTCGAGAAATTTCATTAAAGACATTATGCGCCTTTTGGTATGATTCCAAACTGCATAAACCAGGGCAGGATAAACTGTCTTTAGATCCGATGTACTTAGATCATCGCAGCGACACAGGTTCGAATTCTGCCGGAGAGCGCCTATTTTTCCTTAATAAGATTTTTCGAATATTCAGGCTGGCAGACGGGCATAAATAAATATATGTTTGATAAATACATAGAGCGTCTAATATATTATATGTATTCACTAGAAATAACAGTTAAATAATCATATAAATCATATATATATATATATATATATATATATATATATATATATATATATATATATACAAGTATATGATTGGTATATACGGAATAAATTCCAATAACCAACAATTACTATTCTTAAAAGAGTGCGAATAGGGTAGAGCGAATATAATTATTTATTTAAATATTATGACTTAAATATGTTATAAAATCACTACAAAAATAGCCATTTTGTTTCAAAACCACTGGTGTCTTATCAAGTGACGATGTTGAATGTAGATTCTACATTCAACAACTTAATAAGACACCAGAGGTGTTGAAACAAAATGGCTATTTTTTATATATATATATATTTTATATTTTTAAATAAAAATTATATAAATATATATATATATATATATATATATATATATATATATATATATGATTAAAGTCCAAAAGAAAGAAACCTATAATTTATACCCTTTGATTTACGCATTATAATAATTTACTCAGATCTTAAGGACTACAATATACATGGCGTCTCATTAATGAATGGAAACTATCCATTAAATGAATTAATCTATAAAAGTAAAGACCATTTACACGCTAGAAATTGTCTTAGCCTACACAAAACAAAACATAGGTCATAAATACCTAGAGTATTTGATTTTCATTATTTAAAATATTGTCCCATTTCTTCCAAAGAGAGATCCAAATCTTAAACCCGATTCTCTATTTAACGACGAATTTATAGAATTTCTTCTTTATGCAAGACGACAGCCATCCAATTTACTATCACTTCTCATATCTTACAGGCCGAAACAAAAAGAACACCTTCCGAGATAATTACACATGCAATAAACCATGGTGTCAAGTCTATAAAGTCATTGTCACCGATACAACTTATATTCCTCCAGGGACAGAATTTAAAATACACCCACCTCAACTCACTTGTGTCAGCTCTAAAGTCGTTTATCTGATTTACTGCAACTTCCACGACGGCGGCACTACGTCAATGGAACTAGCTCTGAAATTCTTTTCACATTTAATAATCACCAACAGAAACTTATGGGCAGCCCTTATTAGTCAACTATGCTAAAGATTTTCATCTTTCCTAATTATAGTATAGAACATTTTAGATATGACCTCCTTTCATTCTTTTCATCATTTCAGCCCAAGCAAGGCAATAAAGCCACTAAGAAACAAGCCGTCACTGAGTGTTAGAGAATACGAAAAAAATACTTTTAAGGAGAGAGAACAATAAAAGAATAAGAATTAAGAAGACTGAATTTAACGATTGAAAATGCATATAAATTTTTGAAGATCAACGTTTCCTGAGAAGCAAAAAGTTACAGAAGCGATAAGTGCTATAGAAGAAAGTTTTATCATAGAACATACGGTAGCATCTAGCCATTTCAACTGTATATTGATGAGACCTTGCGACTAAACTAGTACTGAGCTTAAATACATAAGTTCCGGGTACCATAGAGGGAGGATAATCAGTACAAATACCATGAAAGGATTTATAGAAAAGACACATCCACTTCTAATTCACAATACAGCCGTAGGAATGTTAAAATATACATTATCAACATTAAATTAAGTATTTTAGAAAAATGAATTCAAAATGAATAAAAAATTCTACGAAAACAACGACTAAAACATATGCGCCATCTTGTTTTTAAGTTTTAATAGCTCGATAGTATCTTATTACTTTTTCATACCACTTATATTTTCCATTCATTTATGTGACACTTTTCATTGCTATTTTATGGCTATGTATATGCATACATATAGATGTTTATTTATTGTATTATTTAGGAACATTTTATATTTTGTTTTTCTATTTATTATTTTTACCATACATTTTTTCTTTACTATTATTTTTATTATTATTATTTTCTTTGATTTCTGTTGCATACTCATTTCTTTTCGGGTTGCAACCAGTACGCTAAGGTCAGAAATTGCATCACGACTTTTCCACTGAGCATTATTTGAGGAAAAAATAACCTTAAGACCATATATATTTTACGTAGATAAAGCCCTTTATGAGGTGTGAGTTGTAATTGTGAGTAGAATATTTTGTATTTCATTAAGTCATCGGATACAAGGAATCCCTTCAATGAGTCTATTGGAATATT